AGGCACGCAGCTCCTACTGTGGACCAGACACACTCCAAGCAGGGCTTCCAAGACAGCCAAGCAGCTGTCCCAGAGCCATGCTGGGGCAGAGGTGGGGTTGGAGGCAGGGGCTCGAGAGCTTTAGCAGAGTGGCCTGGAGCAGGTCACTGCCTCTGTACCAGTTTCTTTACCTATTAATTGAAGGGTTTCATGGAGAAGAGATGAAAAGGAAACAGCATGGAGAGATGCAGGTGGTGAAATGTAAAGTAGGAAGGTGGTTTCTAGCCCCTTTGCCCTGGGCTCTCCTCCAAGACCTCTCCTTGCACCGGGGCGCATCACAGCGCGTTGTGCCTCCCATCTGCGGTGGAGCCTTGGAGGAGCTGAAGCTGCCTGACCTTGAGTAGCGCAGCCTGAGGCGGGTGAGGTGCACCTAAATCATCCCGGGAGAGCTGCTCTGCTGGCTTTCAAGTCTCCCTGCATAATCAGCCCTTGTCCCTGGCCTTCCTGCAGAGCCAGTGCTTTAACCCTTGCGGTGGGGAAGTGCTGCCTGAAGCCTCACCCGGTGCCTGGCAGCCCCTCCTGGCAGCCGGCGCTGGCTGGCTCCCGCAGGCTTGGGCGAGAGATCCGCCATGCTGCTCCTCGTGGGCAGGGGGCCCCCAACAGCTTTGGGGCATTGGGGTTCCACCCTCTTCTCCACCTGTGTTGGCTTGTCCTGACACCCTCACATCTCCACCTAGAGACACTGGGAAATACAATCTGCCTCTGAGCACCTGCTTGGTGATGCCCGGAATGCCCCTGCAGCGGCGGCGGTCCTGGGGGATGTCTGGGTGAGACGCCCCGGGCTAGGGGTCTTGAACAGTTCCTGGCAGTCCACCCCAAGGTAGCCAGTCTGTTTCATTAATTCTGAAAACATGGGTAAAGCCCTTTCCATGTGCCACTTGCACAAATATATTCAAATGATCATTCAAATGATTTAACACGCAAAGGGTCAGCCTTCCCCGAGTAAATCCTGTTTTTAATGTGCCTGTCTGAGTGATTTCATTAGGTGGCAATGTTAAAGAGAAGTGTATACTGACGCATAACTTATACAAATGTATGCAAATGAGGTGCCTGAAAGAGCCCAGAGTGAAATTCCTTGGAGATTCCCCTGAATTCCTCCCTGTGTGGATCAGCTGTTATCATCACAAAGAGCACCAGCAGACAGCAGGGACAGGAGTGCCATTAAGGCTAAAATGGGGGGCGGTGGGAGGGGAGAGCGCAGTGACACCCAGAAAGCTCTTCCAGCTGGAGAGGGTCTCGCCCGCCCGGGGCTGGCTGCTGAGCCGACTCCCCCACTGTGTGGATCTGCAGCAGCTGCCTGTGCTCAGAATACAGATCAGCTCTCAACTTTTGAACCCCTTCTGGTAGGAAAAGGAAAAATATCACAGAAAGAAGCCAATTCCATGCCGAGTCAAGGGATGGGCTTAATTTTTTCCCGGGGAGGGAGGTTGGGAGAAGGGCCAGGAGAAGCCGCGGCTCGGCTCAGACTTCCCCTCAGGCTGCTGGGGAGTGCCAGTCGGTGCTGGGCACAGCTCAGGGCTGCTCTCAGCCGTGCCCCACAAGGTCCCTCTGGGGAGAGCAGCCAGGCCCCATCATCTCTGGCCAAGGACACAAGACCGCGGCTTTCAGGAGCCTCCCTCTCCCTTCCTCTGCTGTCCAGCCCCATTCCAGGGACAGGGACCTTCTGCCCCTCCCCCTCCCAGAGCCAGGGGCCAGAAGGGGTGGGATCACATGGTGTGAGGTTCAGGAAGGGCACTGCACCAGACGGGGGCATCCTGGGAGGAGGGCACTCTTTGGCTTTGGTGCCTCTGGGGTCACCTGGACTCTGAGCGCAGACGCGGGTTCTGAGTGGGAGGCGCATGTTGTGAGCAGCACTCCTGCTCCCTTCCCTGGGGTCTCTGGGCCTCCCAAGGGCTGATGGCCAGTTTGGTTGTGCACCTGGTGCCGTCACCCCTTGCCGGTGGTCCCCGAAGTGCCTGTCCTGCGCTGGACACTGCCCTCTCACCCTGGCCACTCTGGGACCTAGTGCTGCTCTTTGAGCTCACGTCTCTGGATGTGCACGTCACTTCCTAGACCCAGAGGAGCCGCCAGGTATTGGTGGAGTCGGGGTGCCTGCCCAGGCCTCTCTGCTGTTGCCGGGAACCCCCATCCCTGCTGCGGCACCCACTCCAGCCTCAGACTCAGAACCCCTCCAGAAAGCCTGCCCTGCCCTGGGCTGAGTAAGACTCTGCTTGGGCACTTCCTTTCTGCCTCTCTCTGGTCTGGCCTTGTCTGCCTCTGTGCTCACCAGCCCCAGCCCACAAATCCCACCAGACCAGACATTGCTTCTTTTTGTATGTCAACAGTCACACCTGATGGAGAACATAATCAGCAATTGCGATTGTGCCCCTCATCCACTGTCTTACCTTCTAGTGTCTGTTACCCGATGTCAATGGCAGTCTGAAAATATAATGTGGAAAATCCCAGAAATAAGCAATTCCTGAATTTTTTAAGTGCACATTGATCTGAGAAGTGAGATGGAATCTTGATGTTCCACTCTGTCCTGCTGGGATGTGGAGCATCACCTTGTCCTGAGTTTCCACTCTGTATACACTACCCACCCATGAGTCAGTAGCTATTCAGTTATCAGAGTAACTGTTGGGGTACTGCAGTTTTCCTGTTAAAACTCACATTTCACTTGAAGCCTGAGGGCAATTTGGACACACCACAGAGAAGCTGCAAATGTATCTCAGCTTAATAAGGAAAGGAAAAAGTCATGTGCTGAGGTGGCCAAGATGTACGATAACCTGTTGCTAGTGTCTTACTGTGGCCCCCTTATAAATGAAACTCCATCACAGCATGTACCTGTGGGAAAACCACGGTGTCTCCAGGACTTGCAGTTGCCCTGGTTTGGACACCACTGAGGATTTCAGGGTCTTGGGCTGCATCTCTCCCAGGGAGAGCGAGGCTCTGTATTTGACTCCCACTGTGTGCCCAGTCTTTCTAGATGTGACTTCAGCTCTGCTACAGCCCCCTCTAAGGAGCTCTGTGATCTCAGAGCTGGGAATGACCTGCCTGGGGTTTGAGCCCAGATCTCTTCCTTCACTCTGCAGACATTATTGAGCACCTTCTGTGTACCAGGTACTGTGCTGGCCACTGATTACCCAGTACTGAGCAGAACAGGCCTGTGTGGTACTTGGCCTGCTTCCCAGTAGATGCCAAGAGGGGCCTGTGGTTTCTGGCTACCTCCATCGACTGCAGAGGCTCCTGAGGATGTGCCATGTGGACAGAGAAGCTGTTAGACATGGTGCAGGCTGGCACAGTCGCTTGCCAGCAGGGCCATGAGGACACTGGCTCAGGAAGACATCGATCACGGGAAGTGACTCAGCTGGGGGAGACGTCAGATGTGACTCAGAGAGACTGTCTGCTGACGTCTGCTGAGTTGGGCCAGCAGCTGTCATTGGACGCTGCGTGTGTGTCACATGGAAGTCCCTGGTGCAGGGAGGTGACCCTGGGCCACTCCAGAGGCCGAGGGTGGAGACTTGCTGAGCGTCTGCGTGTGCAGGGCACAGCTCCCCTCAGGGCCTGGTGGGGGTGATTAAAGACGGTCCTCCCCACCTGGCCTTGGAGGGTGGGGCTCTGTGGTCACCTGGTAAGTGCCCTGAGTCCCAGCACTGAGTGGAGAGTGGGCAGGCAGGGTGGCAGGGCCAGCCTTCTGAGAGGCCCTCACCTGGTCAACTCGCCCTTCTGGTCCCAGGTGGATGAAGGACATGGACATTCAGGAGGGATGTGCCAGGAAACAGTGTCCCCAGAGGGGGCTGCAGGAGGGACGGACGGGGACATGAGACAACATGGCCTGCTGCCCCAGGACGGAAGGCCTGGGAAGAACGTGGCAAGAGGAGGAGCCCCGGGTGGGCTGGTGGCCACTGTCCAGGTGCCGTGAGGTGGTTCTGCCCTGGTGGCCCAGTGAGAGGAGGACCTCACAGTCGGACAGCAGGTGTCTGGAGGAGGCTCTGCTCCCACAACAGCCCCTGGAAGTGGGCGCCCTGGAGATTCCGGGGGACACGTTGTCAAGCTCCTCAGAGCCTGGGCAGGAGCTGACCTGGCCTGGGGCCACTCTGCCCACTGGGCCCACCCGCGGTGCTTCAGTGACTTCCCAGGGACGTGGGCAGTACTCATGCCTGCTCTCAGGGCCATTTCCCAGATCAAGAGGCTGCATTGGCAGCACCAACATGCTAATGAGAGGCCACTCTGTTCTGGGACACCTTTGCCAACACCTTTGTGGAGTGAGGCCACAAAGAGATTCTACAGTGATCCAGAGACCCGAGGCCCAGGCCTGGCGTGACCTTTGCCTCGCCCTGGACAAGCTGAGCACTGGGGACGGGGTCTCTGCAGCTGTGGCATCTGTCACCCCACAACTGGCAGAGCCCCCCTCGCAGCCAGCGGCCACAGGCTGTGAGTGCATGGGACACTCAGGGAGCCTGGGGCCCAGTGCGCGCTGGGGTCTGAGCTCCTGATGGCTCAGAGTCCCGCTTGAGCCAGGAGTTGACGTCATGGCTGTGTCCTCGCTTCTGTGGCTCTGCTGTAACTGGGATGTGGCTGGAGTCCCGGGACCAGGCGCTGGACGGCGGGTCCCAGTGTGGTGACGTGAGAGGTGGTGGGCCCTTAAGGGGGGCTTCGTGGGAGGTCAGGACCCTCAGTTTTCTGGAGAAGGTTTTTGCACGACGCCCTGGCCTCCTGTCACAGCGGGTGACCTCTCTCACCGGCTCCTGCCATGACACCGTCTGCCATGGGGTGATGCCCCCAGGAGGCCCTGGCCAGAGCCTGAGCCTGTGGTTTGGCTTCCCCAGCTGCGGGCTGAATGTGCCTCCTCTTTTGTGAGTCACTGGGCTCCAGGTATCCCACTGTAGTAGTGGAAATGGGCTGGGATCTGACTCCTGGCCCAGCTCCGACCAGTCCTTCTAGTTGGCTAGACCAACCAGACTCTAATATGACACCAGAGATTTTATATCAGAGACCTGCCGAGACTCTGAGAAACATGAACTCCGTGCTGAACACATAGTAGGTATTCAAAATAGTGGTCACCCATCTCCCTGTCCCAGTTCAAAAGTCTGTCCCCTAAGTTCAAAAGTCTGCAGAGGTGGCTTGGCTGAAACAAGACGGGTCTGTCTTTGTGACAATGAAGTAACGCAGCTCTGAAGCCAGGTGACCTCTGCAACGGGGCCTGGCGCTGGGCAGGCGAGTGGGAGTTTCAGGAGCAATTCAACCCACACAAGATTGGTCGGTGACAAAGACTGTGGCTGACATCCCAGAGGCTGCTGGCTTCCCCCTTCCCGTCGCTGACAACGAGCCAGTGCTCTCCCGGGGACTTGGAGGAAGACGAGGAGCGCAGGTGGGAAGTGTGGAGGAGATAAGGTGGGGCAGAGCCTCGAACCTGCTCAGCTGGGTGTGCTGCGGGCCCTCTGGCAGGGCTGGGCCGGCTCCTTGGAGGGCAGCCCAGCTGCTCCAAGCTGTGAGGCAGCCACCGGGTCTCACCCTCGACGTGGTGGTCGGTGCGGGTGCGTCTGGGCAGAACCGTGCCTCTGGAGGTCCGCAGAGCGTCGGGCCCTGGAGACGCTGGCTGCTCTGTGGGGCTGGTGACTGCTGTGACTCGCACTTCCTGTTGGCTTTGGTGGGATCCTCCTGCCTTTCATTGTCAGCTCGTGTCCCTGTCTGGAATGTCGTCACCTGTCATTGCTCTCAGAGTCGGGCGACTTTTCCTGGGGTGCAGCCCGGGTCGTCTCTTCTGCAGACAGGACCTGGACCGCCCGAGCCTGCTGCACCCCCACGGGTCACTCACTGTGGTCCCCTCAGCATGGTGAGGGCCCCAAGCCCCATTGCCCAGCACCTTGTTGGTGATGTGTGCTCACGTGTTCTAGTTCACTTATGTGTCAAGTGTGCCCTGAGCCCCTCTGTGTCCCAGGCCCTGAGGTCGCAGGCGTGAACAAGCACACCCACGGCTCACAGAGCCCGCCGTGGAGGGAGGTGGAGGAGGAAAGGGTGAGCGAGCGGGTGCCCTCCAGGGCATGGACAGCCAGCGAGGAATGTGGAGGTGGAAGAGCGAGGCCGGGGACGGGAACGCGCTGTGGAAGCTGCCTTCGAGGGTGGCCCTGGAGCAGCAGCCCCTGTGCCGTGCTGGTGCCTGAGGACAGTGGAGGGGCCGCCGCGGGACGAGCTCTCCTGTGAGGCGCTCAGGGCCAGCCTGACTGCAGGGAAGCTGGAGTCCTGGGGAAGGGGCAGTGGGGGTCCCTGGGAGGCTGGGTCACGGGCAGGTGAGGACCTGAGTAGGCCAGAGAGCCGGCGTGAGCAGGGCGGAGGCTCCGTCTTGTTGCATGATGTGCTATTCAGAGCAGTTAATGCTCTGGCTTAGAGAAAAAGTGTGATTTTGACTCACACAGTCCTGACCTGACGCCCAGCTCCTGGGCGCTGCCTCCAGGGGTGCTGCAGGTACCCAGGAGTGGCCCCTGCAACGGGAGGCTGAGGAACAGGGCCTGAGTTCCCGCAGAGGCGAGAGCTGGGGAGGAGAGTCGCTTAGTGACACAGGCTCCTGTTCCATTGGCAAGGAGTGTCACGTGCCAGGCTGACTGCCAGGGAGGCTGGGAAGTGCCCTGGTCCCTGTGCCCAGGTGAGGAGAGTATGTGGACGTGGCGTTGCCTGCCCTAGCTGTGCGGCTGTCTTGGGAACAGCAGGGGACAGTGCTTGGAAATCAGAGCACCTAAGGTTCCCTTGAGACCAACCGTTGGCCACCATGGGTGCCCTTGGCTGGGCTACAAGGCTGCCAACCTCAAACTGTTGTGGAGAAGTTGGTGGGTCCCTCTGAGGTTCCTGTCTCACAGATGAACTCAGAGAGTGCCACTGACCTGCCAAAAGACACAGAGCACAAGAGACAGGACCAGGACCAACTCTCACTCAGCCGTGCTGGCCATCACTTTTACTTGCACAAACACGTTGAGTCGATGGAGCCCAAGGGACGTCCACCAGGCAGGGCAGGCAGAGAGGCAGATCAAAGGGCTGAGAGAGTAGGGCTTGGGAGAAGGAGGCCTCGGGAAGGCCCTGACCTGGCCTGGGACTCTGCCAATCACTCGCCTCCTTGAACCTTGGTTTTGTGACATGTTAAATGGGAAAGACAATGTTGGATTAACTCAGCAAAACCAACAGCAATGAAGTCCTTGGGTTTCACAGAGGCACCTCCTGTGCCAGGGGTCCCTGGCTAGTACCCTGGCTGGGGCCGCCTTCTCTCTCCTGGGGACCGAGGACAGAGGCTTCTGCCTGTGGTCAGGGGTCGCCGGGTTTCTGGGGCCTGCTGGTGGATGGGCAGAAAGGCTGGGTGGAGGAGCCCCGTCCCCTTTCCAAATGCCCTGCCCAGCATGTAGCCCGTCAGCTCTGTCCATCTGCCACTGGCAGAAATCAGTCACATGACCACTCGGGAGCCAGGGGACCAGAAACTGTCATCCCTGGTGGGCAGCAACACCGGTCACCCCCATGAAGGACAGGACACACTGTTCCTGGCAGGCAAGCGCCCATTGCTGTGTGTCATGGGCCTCTTGCTGCGGTGACTAGAAGGCCCGCCCAGCACCACTGCTGAGGAGGGAAGTGTACTTGGGGCTCACGGTCGCAGAGGTCTCAGCCCAGGACACTCAGCCCCATTCCTCGGGGCTCAAGGTGAGGCAGGACACCTTGGTGGAAGAGAGTGGTGCGGGAGCAGAAGCAGAGAGAGCTCTCCGTTTGCAAGATACAAATATACACCCAAAGCCACGTCCAGGGCCCCTCCTCAGCCACACGCAGCACCTCGGCGCCCACCGTCAATCCCATCAGCGGGGATGAATTCACTGATTGGGTGAAGACTCTCACAACCCAACTGCTTCTCCTCTGAACCCTCTCACATCGTCTCACACGAACTTTTGGGGCGCCTCACCCAAGCCGTGTCACTGCCTCGCATCCCATCTTGCTGGTGGCTGTGAAGCTCTAGCCTGGCAACGATCGTGAAGCCCGACCGGGGGCCCATGGCCAGGCAGACGCTGTCGCCTAGTTAGGCTCGGGGTCAGCTCCGTCCGTATCCACACCTGCCCCCCAGCTAAATTCCCATCTCCGCCAGCCCCAGTTTCCTCTTGTGTGAAAACGGGAGGGTGATATCTGTTTTAGGGATCAGTTTAGGGAAAGCACCTGCCACCATCGATGGCTCTGCTCTGGTGGTCAAGGCCCAGGGAGCAGCCGTGCTGAGCCTGTCCCGTCCTCGGGGGTGGTCAGCATGGTGGTAGGCCCTGATTAGACTGTGAGCTGAGAGGAAGGGCCACTCTTCTGTGTCCTCGTGTTTTAGGCAGCTTCAGTGTCACTGGGACAAAAGACCAAGGAGGAAAAGTTGGCTTTGGTTCATGGTGATGGGCTGACTCCCTAGAGCTGGGTCTGAGGCCGGGGGGGAACCTCAAGGTGGAGGGGAGGGTGGAGGACAGCAGCTCAGGACGCAGCAACCAGGAAGCAAGGGCACTCCCCTCACCAGGGTCACGTGTCAACCCGGAGGTCTGCCCCGGGATCCTGTCCTGCGGTCACCACCGCTTGCCTTCAGTTCCCACCTGCTCATCCATGTCATGACTCCATCGTGTCACCTCTGACCATTCTTGCACCCTCAGACACGAGCTCTGGGGACACCTCGCATCCAAACCTTAGCATCTCGCTGTAATCGTGGCCGTTCACTGGGGTTCGCCTCAGTTTTCAAATCCCTGATGTGGGAAAACAACAGAAGCTGGATGGGGAGGTGCTCTTCCCTTCTGCTAATGCAGCCGAGCCCACGGGCTCTATTTCTGCCCCAGGCCTCAGGCCTGCGGGATCTCACTGGAATCTGGGCAGAACAAATAATAATACGAATGAGTTGTAGATGGAGTTAATTCTGCATGCACCAGGCAGAGCAAAAACAGGGCAGACTCACCTCCTTAAACAGCGCTGTGCCTAATGGGGATTCACTGCTCCTCCCCGTTCCCTCATGCCGTGGGATCTCACTGATCCATATGGAGGGCTGGAAGGGAATGCTGATGAGGAGAGCAGGGATGCACGCCTCTCCTGGTCCTGCTCAGGATGCCAGCCGACTGTGCCTGTGTACCTGATATCGACCGACCGACGCTCCTGCTCCATCTGCTGCAGCACTTGGATTTGGAAGCTGGGAAAGGTCTTACCGTCTGTGGTTTTGTGAACCAGGAGGCTGTAGTGTGTGCACAGACAATGGATGAACAAATGCCTCATGCCAGGGACTGTGAGAGCGCCCTGGGGCCAGGTTCTGGATGGCCCTGAGCCTCCCCAGGGTGCTGTGGGTACTCGGAGTCCTGGCCCTGGGCCTGACCTTCCTGCAGGAGCGCCATACCTAGGGCTGGAGGGGGTTGGTTCAACTCAGGCTCCCTGAGTATGGCTCCCCCCGGCACCTGGCCCATCACTCAGATCAACCATCCCCAGAGCCCTGGGGTGTCGCCCCCCTCCACGTACCTCCCCCCTGGGTCCTGGGCTCTGGCTCACACACAGCACTGGGGCGGGGGCAGGGGCCCCTGCAAAGTGTTTCCTGCTGCTGCCCCCTGCAGTTTCCCCTTCCACAGTCCCTGGGGAGATCTCCTGAGGAAATCAACGCCCACCTGTCCTGCTCTCACCTGTCCTCTGCCCTTGCCCCCCTGCCTCAAGGCTCACAGCTCAGTGAAGGGCAGCCAGCAGCTGGAGGTGGAGGGCCAGAGGCCGCCGTGGGGGGCGGGTCCTGACGTGGGGAGGCACAGCACCTCCAGCACTTGGTGGACAGAGGAGGAGGCTCCCAGGCCAGCAAGTGGAGCTGGGGGACGGGGGAAAATGCACGAGGGGCTGAGGGGGAGAGAGGAGGCAGAGAGGTGCAGAGGCCCCAGACAGGACAGGGGGCGCACTGCACTCAGGGCCGCTCGGAAGGGGCGGGAAACTTGCGCCTGGCCTCTGTGGCTCTGCGGGGACCAAGCCACGGCCTTTAAAAGGTGGTGCAGTGCTGTGTCGGGTTGAACTACTTCAGCAGGGTTTTGCTTAGAAAATCCCCTACTGGTGACTACTCATCCCTCCCCCAAAGGAGCAGCCTTGCTAATTCCAAGGCAGAAACACTGGTGGACGGTCCTTGCTCGTGGCGGTGCAGAGCGATACACGGACCGCAGAACCGTGCTTTGACTCTGCTCTGGGTCTTCTCCTGGCAGCAATACCTACTACCCTCCTGTGCGCTGGACTCTAAGTGAGCTGCCCCTCCCGGCAGCCTCTAGACCACCAGAGAAGCAGCGGAGGACAGTCGATGCTTTTTCAATCTCGGATCTCTTCAGCTCACCCTGGGCTTATTGGGCACAGTCCTGCCCCGTGTCAAGGGCTTCTGCAATCACAGCAGAAGAGCCAAATGAGCGCGTTCTCCTTTCTCACCAGCCTTGCCCCCACCCCCCCTCACTGAAGGTCCTAGTGGGGAGTAGGGGAAAGAGCAGCCCTGTCAGAAAGTGGCCTCCATAAGCTGGCTGCACCAGAGCTGGGGTAGGGACCTCGGGGCAGTGCGGGCTTCTGCCTCCCATCAGGCGTAGGCGCATGGCCTTCCAGAGAGGTCGCAAAACCAGAGGTCTTCCAGAAGCATCTAACAGAGAACTCGGCAGGTCGTCTCCTGTCCTGCCCCTGCCCACCTGTCCTCTGCCCCCGCCCATCTTGACAGTAGGCTATTAAAGTGGAACTCTGGCTTTGAGGACACTCCTCATCAGTGGGGTAAACTTTTTATACATCTATTGAGCACCTGCATTTCCTTTTTGATGGTGAACAGACCTCAGTAGCTGGTGGGGAGCAGAAGCTCGATTGGCCAAGGATGCTGGGGCCAGTTGCAGGTGAGTGGCGATATTGACAACAAGGGCTGATGGACAGACAGGTCTGAGCACTTGCTTCTGTGTCAGGCCCCGTGGGAGAGCTCGCTGACCATGCGCCCAGGGAGCATGACACAGCATCCTGGTGCCTTCTTGGGTACCATGGTCAGCCAGGGACTTCAGGTGACCCATGGTGTCCCAAACAGCTTTCCCCAGGGGCAGTGGTCAAGCATGGCAGGTTTCCTGGGTTCAACTCCACTTGGTACTAGACCTAAGGTGACAGGCAGGAGGCGTGGAGGACGGGTGGAGTTGAGTCCCACTCACCTGTGGAGGGCTGAGGCCCTGAGAGAGGGCCGTTTGGGTCAGTTTAAAACCACCATGGAGTCCTGGTCTGGTGGAGGCCCTGCTGTCCACGTGGGGTGGGAGAAACCTTTCTGGCTGAATACCAGGGAAGCAGGAACCTCTGCAGGTGTCTGGCAGAAGGATCAGCACAGGTGACAGGTCCTTAGAGTCCTACAGTGAGCTCCTGGGGAGGAGGCCAGGAGGCGCCCTGTCCCCTGCTGAGCCAGGAATGTGGACCCAGGGAGAGGCTCTTTGGGGCCAGAGGCTGGGGAGTTTCAGGAAGCCACTGCCTGGTGATGCAGAGCCCTGGTGGGTGGTTTGTACCGAGTGCCATGGTGCCCGTGTGCCTGCTCACGCCTGCTGCTGGGAGGGCACTGTCTGCACTTCTGCCTTCCAAGTTCGGCTGGAGTGCCTCTCGTTGGATCTCTGGGTGTCAGGGAGGCTGGAGGGTGGGTGCCAGTCAGCAGCAGGCAGCGTGCAGCACTCCTCTGTGGCTGGGGTGTTTCCAGGAAAACCTCGTGTGCTGAGCAACACATCAGAGAACACAGAAGATCCCTGTTTATCCCAGTACTTCCTGGCAGTGTGAGGTTGGATCTGAGACCTGGGACGTCTGGGAGTGGATGTGGGTGGGGCAGGACTTCCAGGCAGAGGAGCCGTGAGCAGATGCCAGCAGGAGAGCTCTGGCCCTTCCAGATTCCTCCAGCTGCAGTAGGAAAGTCAGCCCTGAGGAGGGCAGGATGACCTTGGAGCCCGCAGAGCTGGCCCAGGACGCGGAGACCTGCTCCAGACAGAGTGGAGAGCGTGGGCCTGATAAGTGTGTCCAACCATGAGCTTCCAGGACACAGTGATCAAATCAGCCAGCCGGGCAGGGGTGCTGTGACCCAGGGGGATGTGTCCCTGGAACCCTAGCTCTTGCCAGGGTGACTCTACCATGGGCTGTGAGCTCGGGCAGGAGTACAGAGTGGCAGGTTTTCTGGGGAAGACTCACTCATGCTCGGGTTTGGTGTGGCTCTGAGTTCTGTGGGATGCTCCAGGGAGGGAAGTCTTCTGCAGCTCGGGAGCTGGTGGGACCCCGGGGGGCCAGGGGGGGTCATCCCTGCAGGGCCGTAGAGCTGGCTCTCACCCCAGAGCAGACCTGGCCAGTGGGGCGGCACGGAAGGCCTGGCCTGGGGCAGGGTTCACCCTGGGGAACCGGTGAGGGCCTTGGGGAGTGACTGGGTGCAGCCAGAGGTGGCTGTGTTCCCAGGAGTGTGCCATCTCCAGCCTCTTCCCTGTGCCCCACCGTGTGCAAAGCCTGGCCACAGAGCTGTCCCCATGGGCTCTGGAGACTGAGTTTTCTAGGTGGGGAAACTGAAGCCCAAAGAAGTTTAGGTGAGGCCCCAGGAAACAGCCGCAGCAGAACCATCCACTTCTCCTCCTCACCCACGTGGTCCCTCCTTGTCCCTCCATCATGTGTTCAGGTGGCTCGGTAATCACACCTCCCAGAGATTTGGTTCAAGTCATGGCAATAGCTGGGCATGGTGGCCAAACCTGCAATCCCCTGAGCAGCTCAGGAAGCCGAGGCAGGAGGATCAAGTTCAAGGCTGTCTCAGCAATTTAGTGAGACCCTAAGTATCCGAGTGAGACCCTGTCTCTAGATAAATACAAAAAAGGGCTGGGGATGTGGCTCTGTGGTACAGTGCCCTTGGGCTCAACCCTGGTACAAAACTCCAAAATAGTGACATTAACAAGGAAATGGCTCTGAGGCAGAGGCCTCTGCCGCTGTGCTAATGCTCACGGGTTGGAAGTTCAGTGGGCCAACAGGTAATCACAGCAAATATTGGTAATCACATGGATCAAGGTTGGAAATAATTGGAAATTGATTTTTCTGTGTGGAAACAGGGAACATTGAGAATCATCCTAGCTGAGTCTTCATGCAAAGAGGGCATAAGGCCTTCTTAAGTTCTCAAAGCCACGGTCACAGCTGTGACCCCGAGAGCAGTCAGTGCTCGAGGCGAAGCTGAAGATAA